CTAGCATCAGCCTATGTTTTACGTAAGAGTGGGTAGTAACAACTTTTTAAACTAAAGTCTCTTGATGTTCGGGAGTTAAAAGGTTTTTCTACTGTCTGAAATTGAATTCAATGTTTCTTGAAACACAAATTAAATTTCATAAATTCAATAACACAAACAAACTATGACACATTGTTACGTGACCCAATTTTCAAGAATGAGCTGAGTAAATAAGCATTAAAATTCATGTAGAAAAGACTGAGAACAGAAGATATCGTCTATATTCATGAATTAACATGTACAGTTCAGGACAAATGATTCATGTCAACTCACCCAAGCAAAGAAATTCAACAGAGATATTTGATCTCGTCACAGGAGAATTCATTTGAGTCGCCTACCTTTTCTTATATTTGAGGGCTTGTGACTTCCAGTAATCAACTTCCTCATCCTTTGACGAAAATTTGGGAATCATCTCTGTGTCCATGTCAGGGCAACCTGAGGATTAAATTCACAAATTAATTAGGCTCACAATGATTTGCATTAGTTAATAGTTTATATGAAAACAATGCTAAGTCAATGCTCATGAAGTTAAAAGAAGTAATCTAGAAAAGGAAAGACCATCAGGGGACTCAAACATGGCACAACACTATTTAGATCCTCTGGCATGCAGTCAGGTGCAGTGCATTCCCTTCTAATCTCAGGGCTGAGCATCCAGATACATCAAGATTAGAAATGTCTCTCATTCCTAATAGGAGAACATAACATAACACTAGAACGACACTTGGTTAAATGCATAGCTCCACCAAGGCCCAACAGTTTCCTCATGAAAACACATTTAAATTAGCTGGATCCAGACTTTTTATCTGGATCTGCTGATTCTGCACCAAATTCAACACACTTACAAATATTTTTATTTAATCAAGATACATGAATTATTCTCTGAGAAATCAACACCCTTTCTCGCAATGTTCAAGAAAGAGGGGTCGTTCCCTGGGTCACCGCTCCACAAAATGTCATGAAAATCAGTGGAGTAGTTTTTGCATAATCCTACTAAAAAAATAAATAGAGTAAAACCCAGATGAAAACATAACGTTTGTGAAGGTAAATCCGTTCCTCGTAGTTCCTCATGAATCAGTGACTCAGTCTCCAATGAAAATACTTACTGAAATACACTGACTGATTGGCCGACATAAAAAACCAGTCCATAAACTGTGACCAGCCTCTGAGACTGGCCCCAGAAAGAGAAGTCATGACTTCACCATTACATTTAATTAAACCTCCCAACAGCTCATCCCTATGATGTCACTTATCAGAGCTACTCAGAGCCGTCTGCTGTGGCCTGTTCTGACGTTATAAAAAGCTTTTCCTCTTCCCTTTCTTCTCTTTACTAGAGAAACGTTCCTGTTTTCTGGTGAGCTACTAAAATCTGCCTCCCTGTGTTCTGTGTGGCAGAATTCAAATTATTTAACAACAGTGTGTGTGTGTGTGTGTGGTGGTGGTGGCATAACTGCTGCCCACAGTAATGTCATTGGTGTAGCTCCAGGAGTATTTATACCTGAGCTCACTAGGATTTCCTGCAGACAGGTTATTTATAAATCTTGGGGAACCTGGTTTTATTGTGTTGCAACTGTCTGCACAAAAACTGGTTAATTAAAGTGACGTATTTTAATGAAGACATTATTCTAATTATTATTATTATTATTACGTTGTGGCCACACTAGCCTGGGTTGGGCTTAGACAAGGAAATGTTGTTTTTTCTCTTTCCAAGAAGAGGACTGAGACCCAGACTCAGGGCCGCCCGCTCGTCCCTTTACACATTCCTCTGAGATGGCGTCATCAACAATTTCCTCGCTGCAGACCCCTCACGTGTCAGTACACTACTGTGGAAATCTCAAAGGAAACTGGAAACCCGAACAACATAAGGGAGGAGACGGAGAAGTTGACATAACATGTTACTTAAGGAGAGTAGTGAACTCTCTCCAGGGAATAACCCAAGATGTATTTTCATCTGACGATAAGCAGAGACGAGAAATTCCAGCTAGTCTAGCAAATGTAACAGATATCTACTTATTAAGAAGAGGAACGTGATCCGGTGTTTTGTGGGTTCCCCTGGTATGTCTCTGAGCGACAGCAGACTGTTTCCATGGTGATTCAGATCTAGGATAAACACGGCTGCTTAGCTCACTGACAGGATCATTAAATCATCTGACAGAGGTGTACCCCTGTCAGAGCTATTTCACATACGCAGTACATACTGTATGACGACTGACCTCCACTGTGCCAGTAACCTAGCACATCATTCTAAATGAGACGAAAAGCATGAGCTGTATCACGTAACGACGCTGAGACTCTGACAGAGGACATGACAGCTCCTGCTCTATCTTTCATTCCAGCATCCTTTGGAGAGGTGTCAGTTTGACCCTCTGATCTATCTGTCTGCTGCAGGGCCCAGGGCCCAAAGCCAGCAGACATGGTGCAGGGGACATTTCACTATCTGTGTGTGGAGACCTCTGGAAACTACAGACAAGGGAAGGTAGTAGTGAAAAGAAACATGTTTTCTTTCTCGCATCCTAGTCAACATCCTCTTTTTTCTGCTGTGGATGACTCAGTGCTTACTAAGAAATGTAAGCACTGACTCTGATGGTGTCACTTCTCTATATTTGAGGCTGACGGAGGGGTGAGCTGGACTGTAACACTTTTTTTTTCTAACTATGAACAAATTGTTCTCATGTTAGCTTTCAAGACATATTAGGACTAAACTGTGTAAAGATATGGATTATTTGTCTATGACTACATTTCTGAAAACACTTTCAGTTCAATCTTGCATTCTATTTATGTCAAGTCATTCTCCTTTTCCTTTATAAGTTGTTTTTTTTCACTTTATACATATTTACAATCGTATTTGTTACGTAGCATATGTGGTGAAAATGATCCATCAATGATAGGCTGTTATGATAACACAAATTAGGAATGGGTGATATGATAACATTGCTAAACATTACAAATGCTAATTTACATTGTCTTTTTGGTTTGATCTAATGTGAACAATAATAAGAGCTACAGTTGGTTGATATTCCACAGATCTGGTTCATATTTCATTTGTATTTTGTTGGTGTGTTATAGATGAGTAGCAGGAGGACGGGCAGGGTTTTTTGCCAAAGAAGTTCAATATAATTAAAGAAATTAAAGTTAAAAATCTACGGTGGGAGGCTCTACTGTAAATATCATTCACCATTAATAACTGGTTTGTAAAGTTGAGCCATGATAAACATGTTTAATGAGGAAAATGAGCCTGAACATGAAAAACCATGAACACTCTTCAGGTCAGATAACCTGGAGCGGGTTGTCATTTAGCTGCTGCTGTCATCGTGTTGTGTGGTTGTTCGGGTCAAAACATATGAAACCTGGTGTTTTACAGCGATGACATAAGAACAATAAACGTATAAAATGTGAGAACATGACGCAAGAATCGAGCCTGGAACCGAGCGTCACGATGAACACACACACACACGCGCACGCAGGAGCCGCGGGGGGACGTGAACACGACACCACGACACCGACGAGTCGACCGCAGTTAGAAACACATGACAGTACCTGCTCATGTCAAAGGAGTGAGTCCGTCCTCAGATTCTGCGTCTTTACGTCCAACACACACACGCTTCCGCCTCGTCCCGGCCTCCGCTGACACTGGGCTGCCTGAGCTCCGTGTTTAGGAAACTGCCAACGCGTCTCCCGGAAGAGACGTAAGGTCCTGACGATGCACGTACGCGCTGACGTAACTCACGTTGACGTCAGAAATGGGTAGGGCCGGTACAGAAGTAGACGTAAGAGATAGGACACAGGGCTGGTATAGACGTAGATACTAGATAGGACAGGACACACGACTGGTATAGAAGTAGATCTAAGAGATGGGATACAGGGCTTGTATGGAAGTGGTTCTACTGGATGAAAACACAGGACTGATATACAATCATGTACCAGATAGGACGCAGTGCTGATACAGAAGTAATTCTACTAAATACAACACAGGGCAGGTGTACAAATATAGATAGGACACAGGGCTGGTATAGACGTAGGTCCACTAGATGAAACTAAAGGGCTAGTATAGGCGTAGAGAAGATACAGGGCTGGCATAGACCTACTAGATGGGAGACATGGCTAGTATAGAAGGGGACACATGGCTGGAATAAAAGTAGATACTAGATAAAACACAGGGCTGATATAGAAGTAGATAGTATTATAAACTACTATAAATCTGATTTAACAGGAATATTTGGGCGAGATTTTAGTTTTCAACAGTAAACTTCATGTTGAAATGATATATTTAAAAAAAACATGATTTTTTATTATGAATATCAAAGTATAGTAATTATCTAAAATGCTAAAATTCTCGTTAAAAAGTTTATTTACTGTTTTCTAACATATGTTTTCAAGCAAAACCTCTGTCACTAGGCTAAGTGTTTGAAAACATTCCAGTTCAGTCTTGGGCTATTGATGTCACGTCATCCTCTCTCTCTATTATAAACGGTTGTGTCATTTAAAGACTTAACTGTGGTCTACAACGTCAAATACCTGGAGTGTGACGACATTGATTTTGTTTTCCTAAATATTATGGTCTCCAGCCGCACCTTGTTTTGGATTTGCTACATCTAACTTCCACCACAGAGACCACAAGGGGGCATATGATGTCAGGTAATGAACCTCACACATGGGGAACGACTTTTCAAGTATAGCATTTGAACCTTAACCTACAGTTTTCTATTAATCTAATGTTGTACGAATAGAATTGAATGGAATAGAATATGGCCCAAGTTTAAAAATACATAATTCATAAATAAGAAAACGAGTGTATCCCCTAATTAATAAACTTGTCTCAGAGACGACACATCTCTAACCATCAGAGAAAGTCAGTTTCCTTGTCTGAAGAACGTGCAGTATGAACCAGCTTGGCCACTTGAAGTGCCAGTAATGTTTTGTAGAGACCCAATCAGTCAAGTCGGTGCAGCCTCAGGTGGCAGGCCCCGTTTTACAAGGCGTCGCTCTCGCCCCCACCCACAGTGAAGAAGAGAAGAGAACCGTGCGCTGAGGAAAAGGCAACTTGGAGCTGAACTTCACAGGACATTTACCGAAGGCTCCAATTTTAGACCGAATAATATTCTGGGGTTATTTTCCCCTCTATGGCATTTTACAAGGAGGACAGCCAGGAGGACGCACAGGAGTGTCCAGTGTGCTATGAGTGTCTGTCGGGCACCGAGAGGACCCTGAGCTGCGGACATGTGTTCTGCCACGACTGCCTGGTCAAAACGCTGGTCAGCATCAACAGCATCAACAGCGATGGGAGCATCAGGGACACGATCGTTTGCCCCGTCTGTCGACACCTGACGTTCATCAGGAAGCAGAAGGAAGCGCTGGTGTCCCTCGCTGCGGACAAGGCTGCGCATGAAGCGCAGACCCTGGAGGTGCCTCTCCCGCTGCCGCAGGGGCAGCTCCAGAGCGCACGGCACACCTCCAGGGACACTTTGCCGAGGGGAGTGAATTGGATCGCTCGCTGCTTCAGGGGGATCTCGGAGCGAGCCCGTCGACAGAGGCTGATCAGCCCCGGCCACAACGCATCTCAGATCTTCATCATCAGCGCTGAGGGGCGACCCATGGCTGAGGACGATGCGCTCAGCGTGGTGATGACCGTGGTTCAGCCGCAGCGCAGGCGAAGGCGCAGGATTTGCACGACCGCACGGTGCCTCCTCATTTTGCTGTCGGCGTTTACTATACTCGCACTGGTGGCTGCAACTTTACCATGGATTTTATTGGCATAGTGCAGCGAATACTGACTGGACTACGAAGTGCCAATAAGGAGTGATGAACTGATATATATATTTTTAAATCTGTTGAATCCACAAATTCAACATCATCCATCAGCTATGCAATGAAGTGTGTGACAAAGTTTATTTGACTGCTCAAAGTAATCAGAACATTAAACTAATTTCCAGTTCAGGTCGTCTTTCTGGCAAGGTCCTCTCCCCTCTTGCATTTTAAGGAAAACTCAGGAGGTTTATTGGCGTGCCACTTGTTTTATGTGAATTACCAGGCAACAGTCTAATGTAAGCGAGGTTAGGAAAACCTTGACAACTAACACTAAGCTTATTGTTTTGCATTCCTGTCTGTGACAAGTTCTGCCTGTTTCATAAGGCACAAACATGCAGGGATGTGACACAAAGCACATCACAGGACATTCTCCAGATCTGTTTAAACAAGCAAACATGTAACAAGACAATTTACCGTTATTGGTGGTCATTGGATACTGGATTCCAAGCAGCACATTATACGTTTCACATAAAGAAAAATTGTCAGACCTTAGTATGAAGACATTAGCTCGATCTGACAAGGAAGCAAAGTGTGGTTATGACCATGTTTGATCATTCAGGTTATCCTCTCTTCTCCTTACATCACAATAGAGAGGGTGTCTGAAATTAAACGAAACACCATCTCATCATTTCCATTTTGTGCTGTAATCTTAAACATGCAAATCAAATGGAAATGCATGTAATAACTGGATGGAGTTAATGGTCTTATCAGGGCCTTCTTCCCTTACAGCATGTGAGAGGCTTCCCTTGTGGTGTGTTCAAAGACACTGTTAACAGAGTCGCCTTTAAAACTCAAGTGAGAAATAATTGATGCAGTCTGAGGAGGCTGGTTAAGATGAGCTGAGCCTGGTTGATTGCTGTAAGAAGACACGCTGCTGGTCTGTAGCATTAGATTACCACTGAAAACATATATATACAGTAGAGAGGGATTTATTCAGTTTAATTTAGGCATGAATGACAAGATAATGTGTGTTTTTATGGAAATCCATCTGTCAGTCGGTCTTAATCAAAGAGTTCATTTGTGGTTCAACATGTTTTCAACATATGTATGAGGAGTAACAGTGTGTCAGTCAGCCTGAATGGGGAGGAGGATCAAAACAAACTCGTTCTCAGTGCGAGTGTCACCACCATCCTGTCAAACACTCCTGTAGTTTCCTCCTCCCTCAGCCATCCTGCTGGGCCAGTCCCACAGGTTACACTTTAGAAAAGGCCTCTGCTGTTTCAGCCCTGCCTGGTTTCTGCCTGAACAATTTGATGACACAGACTTTTTCCTCACAGTCCTGTTTTTGACTTTCAAGACCCAGATTAACCTCCCAAAACCAGAGGAGGCGATGGGTGAGGAGAGAATAATGGCAGGAATAAAATCAGGTCGAATTATGTAATATGCTGCTAAACCTATTCCTTAATTTATGGCAGTGTTGGAAGAAGTACTCTTCAGAAAAAGTATCAGTAAGACAGTATACAAATATGTCATCACATATGTAATGGAGTCTTTCATCTACAGATGTAAATGCATGTTGATGGGTGTGGTATAGCCAATGTTTAAATGCTTGTAATTTGTTTGGCTCCTAAATTTACCGATGCAGCCAACATCGCTCACAACCCAAAACTTTTACTATGAAGGTGAGCGGTCTCTGTTTTCATCTGGATTTCCTTGTTCAATCTACATGGTACAAGTTGGATAAAGGAACAAGTTGTCCTGACTCGCCCTGAATTGCATTGTACGTCTTTATTCGATGCAACAGCAAGATCACACCCATCAAGAGGCCGTGACATCAGAAAATAACATCACACAAATAAACCCACACGAACCAGGTGAGATTATTAAAAATGTAGAGTTTAATATATATATTTATTTCTGACATTCTGATAAGGATTGCAGGTAGGCTTCACAGTACACACTGTGTTCCACTTGATATGCTAAGCAGAGGAGGGGGGGGGTATAGGGGGTGGGCATGGTGGGCTTGACAAGCGGCAGGTTCTGTTTGTACACTAGTTGTGAAAGCAGAAGGAGGCAGTACATCCACAGGCAACGTCCACTCCTCTACCATATTGCTCAAAAACCCCCACACTCAGGACCATTCGTCGTGATCCACATTCTCCGGAGTTCATCAACTCATTTTTGTTCAATACCCCTCTTACAATCCCTAAAAAGACAGTGATTGACACAAAACATGGATTATCAAAAGACTATCTAAGCGCATGCATGACACTTTTTTCAGATTTTCCTTTTCTTTTTTTTTTTACTCCTTAAAATCCCCTCCCCCCCCACAAAATGTAAACAAATTGAGCTTTATTTTAGACCAACACACTTGGTGGTGAGGTGAGATAGGAAATAGAGGCCTATACAGCATTTCAAATGCTCAATAAATCTACGGAACAGTGCACTACTTTGGTGCAAAATGTGGCTCCTATGAATAACGCTCTCAAAAATGACAGTAAAATTAGTTTACTGGCTGAAATAAGATGAGATGTGATTATGACTTGTGTTTTGGGGGAGGATATACTGACAAGTTTTTTTCTCTCTTCAGCAGCGTAATAATCACACCTATAATGAATATGAATGCATGCTTTTAGGTGGCTGTAAGTTCCAGTTATGATGCACAAAAGCATTACAGTAATACAGCCCTGCACTGATAACAATACATGCCAACAGGCCCTAATTAACTTTCATCCCCAAAACTAGCTCTCGTTTGTCTTGTTAGCAGTTACAAAAGCAGGTACCGTTTGAAATCTCATTGGGTCACATTCAGAGATATACCCCAGCCTCCTCGAATAAATCTATGGATCCATCACAGACGATAAAACCTCTATCGTGCATATTGATTATGCCTATAGTTCCAAAATAACAACCAGTGTGAGGGCACTTGCAATTGTTTGTCATATAATCACCACAGCTATCAACATAATCATCAACGTCACCAATATCTTCATAAACATATACACACTGAGGCATACCATGGATCACTTTAGGAGAGAGGTGAATCTAGAATTCATTTTGTAAAGCAAAAGACTCACACGGAAAACAAAGTGAAGGAAAAAAACCTCTTTGTCATAAAATTAATGGCTTTTTTCAGAAGGTTTGGGGGAGGGTGACTTTGACCACTATTTGGACTGAGGTGGATCAGTAAACACTGTAATTGCACTTAAATCGACAAAATTATTGTCCTAGGACATTCTGTGTGAAATTAAAAAAGTGATACTGCAGCATTTGTTTTCTGACGTTTCTAATTACTTGTCTGTGGCAAAGATACCGACGGAAATACGGAAACATTTTCAAATTTAGACGGAGATACAGCAGATGAGCCGAATTTGGACTTCTAGTCAGTTCTAGTCAGTCCTACAATATAGGCATAGAAATATTTGCCTCTTAACGGATTAATTAAAAGGTCCAACCGGGTCAAAGTAATCTAATTATTTACAAAGGAATCTATCACATAGCAGATTAAAAAAGATGAAAAGATAGCGCATTGGTGTGTAACTGATTAGCACTCCAGCAGGTCTGAAGTCAAAGCTCCGGAGGCAGAATTAGAAAGATTTGATTCTTATAGCAGAAATAACTTTCTGCATTTCTGCTGCAGCATCTTTGTTACCTGGTGTCAAAGTGAAAGATTATGAATCTACAATAGACCTGTTCATCGTGTGCAGGGACAAAAATAACATCACATATTTTAATCATTACA